ATTTTATCAGAAAGATCTTAAACGGGAGATGTCGATTATTCGAGGCTCGCGACTCGTTTTTATAGTTACCGATTGCCAACGATTATAAAAACGAGGTGCGAGGCTCGAATAATCGTGCCTCCTCTTCCCAAATTGTCCACTTTCGTTTACGAGCTGAAGAAAAGTTAGGGCTAATTTACTTTATTTACCATATTTCTAATAAATTCTATCAGAAAGATCTTAAACGAGAGATGTACGATTATTCGAGGCTCGCGACTCATTTTTATAGTTACCGACTGTCAACGATTATAAAAACGAGGTGCAAGGCTCGAATAATCGTACCTCCTCTTCCCAAATTGTCCACTTTCGTTTACGAGCTGAAGAAAAGTTAGGGCTAATTTACTTTATTTACCATATTTCTAATAAATTCTATCAGAAAGATCTTAAACGGGAGATGTACGATTATTCGAGGCTCGCGACTCGTTTTTATAGTTACCGATTATTAACGATTATAAAAACGAGGTGCAAGACTCGAATAATCGTACCTCCTCTTCCCAAATTGTCCATTTTTCTGCGCAATCTGAGCGCGAATTAGGGAGAAATAACTGTGAGAAATAACGATGAAATGGCGACGCATTCTGCATGAATAAAAATACACTGTGGTTATGCTAGGACGTTTTCACGAAAACGGAAAACGGTGTTTTTTGTAGAAACTCCACTTTACTGACGCTTCCGCTGAATAATAGGGACCGGGAGCAAGGTAAATATACCTATTCACGGCCCATTTTCTTATTACCGACCAGTTGCTCCATTCACGTTATTAAAAAACGTACGTTCAAGCACGGAATCTTTTATTTTTTAATTCACTTGTTGCTGGGGTTGGTACTCTTATTTGGTGAAACCTCTTAATTCACGGAAAAGTTTTAGATTACGTTTCTTCACAGACGATTACGAACGTTATTGAGGTCAGAGAACGAAAATGGAAAGTACCTCCAATTGTACGATCGTGATTAATAAACGAGAATTCGATTGCCAATTGAAATCCGAAAAAAAACAGTCGATCATTTAGAATTTTGGAACGCATATATTTTACAGACGACACATATTGCTTTATGAGAAAAACATCCCGAGATCAATTTGTCACGGTACATTAACACAAAATCATTTCCAAAAATTCATGCAATGTCAAAGTGAAACCGAAATTAGAAAGTTAGCCCTAGTTTGGCAATGATTCACCAAAAAATCCTGGTTCGTTTGATATATTACGATAAGTACGAATTTCAAAACCCAGTTAAAAAATTAGTGTCACCCATACACGCACGACTGACGCAGCACTCGACGTGTTGCATTTCTAAAAAAATCGTGCTGCTTCGTTATCAAAATTCGTGTTACATTTGCAGTTTGCACGAAATAAGAAAACAGAAGCTGAAATCGCAATCAGAAGGTAGAATTTAATTTGAATAAACGATGATCGTTGTAACGGAATTGTGTTGCGTGGTCGCGGAGAGGGTTATTTACCCTAAGTCGTTAGATTCTGGATATAGCAATCGCTGAAATACCGCCGCGAACGATACCCTTCACATTTGCCTGGCTTTACTCGGGAAAGCGATCAAGTTATTCCGTATCCAACGCGGTTTATTTCTTCGGACTTCGACGGCAAGGTAAACTTACTTTGATGTCAAAAGTCTTCCATCGCGTTATAATCGATCATGCACTTATTGCAGCATTAGCCGCGATAAATGAGTTATTTTTATCGCGTTATTTTAACCAGCAATTATTGTTTTCATACAGGTAATAACAGTATTACGAGAGTTTTATTTTGCATACAAGAATGACAAAACAAACATTCGCTCATCCTGAAGTTTTTCTATTTATTTATTTTATTTATTTTTTATTGTTATTATATTCTACGTATCCGTACGGATTGTGGTTTAATTTTGAATTGTTCAATTTGCATTGTGCAAGGTGTCCAAAAAGTCGGATGACTGTTTTTCAAAAGCTCATTGCTGAATCTCGGAATTGCATGCTATTAAGATCGTTCTTAATTATTAATTATTATATGTTATATACTATATTATTATATTATTATATATTATGTTATATATATTGTGTTATTATATATTTTATATTACATATATTATTACATATATATTATATACATTCTTATATATTTTATATTACATATATTATTACATATATATTATATACATTCTTATATATTTTATATTACATATATTATTACATATATATTATATACATTCTTATATATTTTACATTACATATATTGTTACATATATATTATATACATTCTTATATATTTTATATTACGTATATTATTATATATTATGTTATATATATTTTATATTATATATTATTATATATTATATTATATTTTATATTATCAATTACATTATTAATTTGCGTGATACGTTCGGTGAAATCGTTATTACGGTTATTACGATGCATTAAATGTCGAGGAATTTTTGTTGTGAATTTGTATTTCGAGGTAGAGCCGGCAGAATAAAAGGGAGACGTCCCGAGATATCAAAGTGATCGAATTCGATGCTGCGGAAGAATTTCAACCACGTTTCGGCGCATTTCTCTGGCGGCGGATTTCGTTGCAGGCCCGGCGGCGGAGCTGTGTATAAGTGCGGGGGTGTGCATGATGCGGCGGGTTCTGCGCGTGGCAATGAAGAATAACCTTCTCCACGGTTTTGATCCAGGGTTTCTCGTTCCGGGAACCGAGAGGCGAGGAGCTTGTTGATATCGTCGCGGCCGACTAATATTTGTGAAGCGTATTGATGGACCCTAAACTTCCGTCGCCGAAAGCATTTCGTTCAGCTGCGGACCGATATTGATTTCCTCGTACTCTTCGCCGGTATTGATGGAAACTCGCTTTGAAGAAAACTGATTGCGGGAAAATTCGAGGGAAAAAAGATGCTCGCTCTCGGCGCACCGTTGCGTTTGTACCGGCGCGCCGGTGTTCTGCGATCGAAGTTGCTCGATCTATTATGTTACACCGTCTTGTTCCGGTATACCGAATTTTGTTGTCACGATTGCGACAACAAAATATTATTGTATCGACAGTAATTAATTGGACAATTTAATGGAATTATCACGTAAAATGCCACGATGTCGCTAATTTTTCAAGCGTAGAAATTCATTTTCGCCGTGACACGTTTGAGTTAATCAAACTCTGTTCCCATTGTTTAATTTTCATTTTTCAGTTTCTAGTTTGATCAATTAAATTAGTTTGATCTTGTGGTGGTTATCGGTAACTGTGCGGATCAGTTATCTTATTTTATCAGCGAAATTAATATGTAACTCTCGAAGCGAGGCCGAGCAAAGTAGCTTAATATTTTACTGTCGTGTTTAATTGCAATTTATCTGTAAAATAATAGTGTGAACTAAATGAGAGTAAACGACACGTTACCCGAACGTCGTCGTCGTCGTCGTCGTCGCAATATTCTATCTCGCGATAATTAACTGCCACTACATTTTTCTCGGCGAAGTGTGCACGGCTCATAATTATAATCAACATAACTTCGTTAGAAGATTCCCTTGGCTGAGAAACGAGATTAGAACTTTATTTCTCGCGTGTCATCTTCCATTAATTGAACGGCTAACGCCGGCGCCGTTCGTCGTGTCACTATAGCAATCTGACATTTACTCGCGACGTCGATGCAATTGGCTCTTTCGCTGAAAACATTTCTACTTATTTTTACGTTGAACATAATTAGATCCAGCATCCGAACACACTCTCCTTCCAATTCTCACGAGTCTTATAACTCGACCTTTGAATTTTATGCATTTACACGGAAATTAAATTTTTAGAGTCTACAAAGCGAGTTTAGCTATAAATTGCATAATAGCATTGCTTTTTATAGATATGACAAGACTAAATTTATTTACACGTTTCTCCGACTCTTTAGAAAGAGTCCTTTCAACAATTTTTGAGTAAAAATGATGAAACGACAATGGAAGACCTTTTCTGAATTTCTTGTTAAAGCTAACATTTTTATTTTACCTCTTCTTATTGTTTATTAGATATTATACAAGTCTTGCGATCGCGTTCGACGATGCAATCATCTGTCGACGATTGCCATCGTAATGCAAAATATTTAAAACATTTGAATAATCCGAATTAAAAATTTGGCATTTACATCAACATTTTCCTCGTGTATCACGAATTCAGTCGTTACATTTGCATTCGTCGTAAATGAAAAATCAACCACCTCGAAAACAAGATCACATGATTTTCAGTGTTCGTGTAAAATCCGCCGAACCTCGACTCGCGCCAGACCGCGCCATTGAAGAAACCCGGCTGTCTGCGGACAGATATCATTAACGACCGTCGGCGGACAATAAGAATCATTGTCGAACAACATTAAACAGAAAGCCCGGACAACAAAAGCAGCCGGCGCCCACTGGCGGCCGGCCTTTCGCCCGGACAAAACAGGCCCTCGAACCTTTTTCAATCCTTGTCGAACCGCCCTTTAGTAATCGAACCCCACCGCTTTGCATGTCGCGTCACTATAACATCCAATCAGCGTCCCGGGGAACGGCTCTCCTCGATTCAGGAGCTCTGCCGTTCTCGCCCACGCCTGGAAAGAAAAGAAATTCTGAATGTCTGATTTATTAGTGCGCGAAAAAGTCCGTCGAAGGGACGAGGCCTCGAAGTGATCGATAATAACCGGTGGCTGAGGAAGACGAAGTAGGGTCAATTGGTGGTGACCGGAAGCCTGGCGAGAAGAAGAAGAGTCAATTCGAAGTAACCGGAAGCTGAAGAAGAGGGAAAAGGGTCGTAAAATAGCCGAACGCTGAAGAGACGGAGGGGAATTTTGGAAGAAGACAGATTTTGAAGGGACAAGAATTCTAGAAGAAGAATTCTAGACGAAAAAGAACTCTGGGAGAAGAAGAATTCTAGAAGAAGAATTCTAGACGAAAAAGAACTCTGGGAGAAGAAGAATTCTAGAAGAAGAATTCTAGACGAAAAAGAACTCTGGGAGAAGAAGAATTCTAGAAGAAGAATTCTAGACGAAAAAGAACTCTGGGAGAAGAAGAATTCTAGAAGGGCAAGAATTCTAGAAGAACGAGAGTCCCTTGGAAGAGGAAGAAAAGAGTCAACGAGATTTGCGAGAGAAGCGAAGAGCGGAAGAAAAGCTGCGTTCGAGGTCACAGATGCCGAGTGTTCGGCCAGGCCGCGCGTAGTCCGGGGCTGTTCCGAGGTCAGCGATTTCCTGGAGCGATGATCGACTCGTCGGTGGCGACGATCGATCCCGCGGATCCTCTCGAGGCCGTCGCCGACACCTGTTTCGAGGACCTTTTGTTTTTCGGCGCCGCGAACGGATCCGGTGCCGGCTGCGACTTCGCCACGACGGGAATCGTGAACGACAGCCATTACGAAGGTGGGAATGGGATGCGGACGGACACCGAAGCCGAAGGGCTGAACAACTGGTGGGCCCTGCTGGCCTTGGTCCTCGTCCTAGGCACCGCAGCCGGGAATATCCTGGTCTGCCTGGCTATCACCAAGGAAAGGAGATTGCAGAATGTCACCAATTACTTCTTGATGAGTCTGGCTATCACCGATCTGATGGTCGCCGTTCTGGTCATGCCGCTGGGGATACTCACCCTTGTCAGGGGTAAGTCGAAGTCCTTTCTGAAGTTTTCTAGCGTGCGGTACTCGTACAGTTAGCCTCAAAGATATTAGCAAAGTTGGACATAATAAAGCTTTGCACTCGGAGAATACTAACTGATTAGGTGCGAATCAGTCCAGAGCAGATTTAAGATGACATCGTTCGAAATATTATTTCGGATAAACATGTTACAGTAATGTCTCCCTTACTGACGCTCAGATTGTCCACTAAAATGGATCATTTGGGAAGAGGTGACACGATTATTCGAGCCTTGCGGCTCGTTTTTAATAATTGTGGACAATTTATAACTATAAAAATAAACCGCAAGGCTCGAATAATCGTATCTCCTCTTCCCAAATTGTCCATTTTTGTGGTGAATCTGGGCGTCGATTAGAAAGACATTACCGTGTTTTATTCTATAATTATTGACAATACTGTGATCACTTGTGAAATGACATTGTTTGAAATATTATCTTGAAAGAAATATTTGTGACCATTGTGAAATTCTTGATGGATATTAAACAATGGTTTAATTATATCGTCTTTCAGTTTGGCTTACATCGACGTTTTTATTGTCATTTCCGCAAGGCAAAACGGCCGATCCGACCGTGTCAAATGATTACAATGAAAATTTCGTAGTTCTGAAAATGACATAATTATCAGCAGCCTAGGTTGGGACATCCGAGTGCAGAGTAATTAGGGGTCTAGGGCGCAGGTGATCAGAGTTATTGTATAATAACTCTGGTGGAGTATATAATACTTCACCCGGTATATTTTTGCGCTCCTTTTTTTATTTCTCATAGCTGGCACAATCAGAACCGCTGTAGGACAGCTGTTAACAGTGTCTCTCGGAATTGTTTCAACCCCGGTGCTATATGATACATGTCAGTTCGAGAGCGTTACACTTATGAGAACGATTGGTTAGTGGAAATGGAGCAAACGAGAGAGCTCTGTGACGGCTCTGTGACAGTTTACCCCTCGATAGCTGTCGCTATACCGCTCGAAGTCTGCGAACGTCCGCCATCGAGAGTGAAACTCGCTGATCTAGCTATTCTGAAGTGGACAGCGTTAATCCGAAATTTCCAAAAACATTTTCTACTCGGTTCCAAAGTACTAAAAATGTCGATCATTGGAGTACCATTCGACATTTAGGCTGCGGATTTTATGCGTTTATGATAAAAATGGATCTGTAAAATTTGAAACAGCGAAAAGATTCGAAGAAAATAAGAACGTTGCTGTACCATTTCAACTTATTAAAATTATTAAAGAAAGAAATCAAATTTTATTTGGCTGTTATATTTTGCAATTGACGCATACAATCTTCATTTTACAGAAAGATCCGAAATCCGGTTATCGACTAGATCTACACGCGTTAACCACAACGTCATAAAAAATGTATCGAATTAGAACATCTTCCTATGATAGCAATTGTTTTTGTGATTATTCTTACAGCTCATAAATGCTAATACACCATATCTGTTTAATTTGTATCGAAGCGAAACGAGTTTAAAGACTCAAGTGTACGGGCCATCCGAAGCGAATGTGTTAAAACTGTGGAAAAACGAGGCACAGAAAAAGAAATAGCTACATCAAACGATCCGTAAATTCTGCGACGATTGTGGGCTGATTAAAAATAAAAACGCATGGCCGGAAAATTCAGAGAGCCGGAAGAAGTAGATGCGAGTGACTAATAAAATGGTTAAGCAGATTATAGGGAAAGATAAAGAGTGTGTAAAACAGATGATATAGGGGCGACAGTTAAGGTATAGATATGCATTTGTAGCGCAGTTACAGACAAAGGATAGTCTAGAGTCTAGAGTCCAAAGCATAGAAATGAAGGTTACGAATAGATCATTGAAGAGCCAACTACAATACAATGTTTCTTAAGCTTATTATATGAAAGGATTAATATAAAAATAGAAAAGAAAGTAAAAATTTATTTCTATTCGAATGACGGCCAACTCTGTTTATACTATTTTCTTTTCACAATTTCGTAAACGAAGACGATTCGATCTATGGTATACGTAACATTTTTTGCTCGGAATGATCTGCTGCACAAGATAAACAATGTGTTCCCAATTCCCTGCAGCTATTACCAACAGAAGCTATATAAAATATTCAAACCATATGCAATATGCAAAATATGCAGGATAAAACAAATTTCTGTGCAGGTACCATAACTTTACTATTTCCAGCAAAAATATGCATTTGCATAAACGCCTGCACTTTACGAACGACGTTCGAAACACGAGAAGCAATAAGAGGCGCCAAGAAATTAGCAATATTGCCCCGATTAGCGGGAACAATGAAACAGAAGGCGAGGATTGCTACTCGACGGCCAGGGGAGGATGTTTTTATTGGCCGAACGTCGGCCGAATATTCGGGATCGCGAAAAAGGGGGCTGAAACGTTCGGTCGTTAAGATTTCCATCAGCCAGATGCATTTTCCAATAATGGCTGGTGAACTTTCCAACCGTTATCTGCTCTCGAATCTAAGTTTTCCCCCTTGTTACCGAGATTACGAGAAGATTGAGGAAAGCTCGATGAAGATTCAGTAACGCGAAGGAGTGAATATCATCGGTGCCTCGAGTTTCTCCGAGGTGTTATTCACTCCGACTCGAGACTATTCCCTAAACGAGGATCGATGGTGCCTCGTGTGTCTAAGTTTCGCTGTTGTTCGACAACGGGTGAACGATGCCACGGCCATTTTTTAATTCCGAGGCTAATGAAAAGACAACGGGCGAATATCTTCCAAGCGATACGCCGGGAATGCGATAAATGCGACGCTTAGGCGAACCAAATTGTTATTTGCCGAACGATTAAATCGGTGAACGGTTAAATTAAACGGGGCACAATAACGCGTTTCTTCTTACTTCGCAAATGCTGGCATTGTGCGGGCGCGATAAAAGTCGTGTTACATTCGAACGAATGCGCTTTTGTAATTTTTACGATTTCGTTCGGTTTTGTTTGATCGCACGTGGCTGCGTTAATTAATACAGTCGAGCCGCGAACAATGAGAGTTTTAAATAATAGTCCTATACAATGTAGGATTGATTATATATTGTACTGTTATTTCTTTTTTTTAAATGAAAGCGCGCGCTTTCGATCAATTTTAGCAACACCGTAATCATTAAGCATTCGACTAAAATGCAACGTGGTTTTTAAGAAATTCGGTTCAGTTTATTGTAATTTCGAAAACTGCGTCTGTTGTTGTCCTTTCGCAGTTATACTCATAAATTCTTGGATGTATTAATCGAGTCTTTTAATTAGGTCGTGGAAGCGAAAACTTCAACGAAGTTTCTGAGTCCTGTGTTAGAAAGCCTTTAAACAGTTAAGTCAATTCTGTCTAACTTATTCTTTGCGAATAAGTAGCTTACAAAGTAATGCGTACGTCTAGAGAGATTGTTGATCGACTTGATTAAAAAATATTTCTGTTCAAAAGAAATTTTCATTATTTTAATGTCTAGAAGTAGTTCGAAAACCGAGAAGCGTCACTGAATTTTCTTTTAAATGATAACATATTTCGAAACAATCGATGCATTGTACCATGATTTTCATAAAAAAAGTAGCAGATCACTGTTTCGAATATTCGAAATAAATCCAAGCTACGTGAAAGCACTGAAAAGCCATTGTTCGCGGTCTCTTCGTAGAGATATACATCCGAAAATATTCGGTGGGAAAATGTAGTTTAAAATGACTGAATTTGTTTCGTAATTAAGAGAAATACTCGGGTTATAATGAAACGGAGTCGGGTTTATTTCAAACAAATTCCATTCACGCCGAACGCTGCTCGCCGTGTAAACACATAATTTTCACCGCAGAAACATGTTATATACTACGCTTTTATGCGGCCACCGAAATTGTTGATACTTGCTCAATTGGACCGCGAACCGCCAGGACTACGATACGTTCGAACTGATTAATTGGTGGACGAGTCAAATGTAAAAACCGCGTTGTCAAGCTCAGACGAGACGTTAGCCCTTCGATTGAATATTGGACATGAAACGGGGCCGGTTGCATCGAACACAATTGAACAGGCACCGATTCGATGAAGATGTGTATTATTGTGCTCTCCCGTGACGTGGAAGAAATCGCACCGTGTTTTTATCGCTGGGAAATATTTGTTCACCTGATCGACCGGCTTTGCGAAAGCTGTAAGAAAGGTGTAAACAATTTTAGACGTTTAAACAATTATTTCCTTATTAAACAATAATGATTACAATATATTAACAATTATAATTACAATTATATTAACAATTATAAACGATTATTTCCTTGACATAACCTTAATTTTCTTCGATTCTTTCGTCTGGTAATTCAGGTAATTGCTTGAAGATACAACAACTGGATTTACTGAAAGATTGTATCCCTTAAGCGACAGTTTTCGAAATAATGCAGCAATAAAGATATACTTAAGAGGACTGCGAAATTGGTGTAATTTTCTTTGTGTGTGTGTGTGGATTCGCATTATAAGATAATTGATACACGATATTACTATTGTTTGTTGTTCGCCAATTTTGACAGATTATACATCGCATATGCTGAAGACACTCGGCAAATTAAGTTACAAGTATAATAAAAATCACGATCAAATAAAATATAAGATATGGTATGTGATAATTATTATATTCTGTTAGAACTGCTAAGAAAACATCAATTTCAACATAGTATATTGTGTACGCTGAAGACTACAGAAATTAAATTAGAATTATAACAAACATTGCAATCAAATTAAATATGCATATAAATCATCCGAAATAATTATTGCATTGTATTACAGTTGCGTATTTCAACAAACTATGTTGAATCGAGTTGAGACAAAATCAATCGAATGAAATATTCAGATGAATCATAGACTTCATTTTAAAGAATTAATCGTTTCTTTCGAAATTGTATATCATCCCTTGTACGAGAAAAGATTTTCGCGAAAGGACGAAGTGAAAGGGTTTTTAAAAATTTTGTCTTTCCGCTGATTAAAAGTGAATATTCTACTTTACCCTGGTTTCA